TTGACTTACCCAATCATCTGACCATCAGTCTGTCCACCCGCCTGCCCTCCTCCTCTCCTTTTTGCCCACCCGACATCATCCACGACCTCTCCACGCACACTGCCATGCATCCATTTATCCACTCCATTCCTCCATGTTCTACTTTGTTCCTCCTACCTTTCCGCCTGTTTCACCCACACACCATCCTTCCCCTCCTTTTGTCTTCCTTCACTTTTCTCAGGCTCTTTCCCAAGTTGCATCTTGCTTCTCTGATCTTTTAACATTTTAAGATTAACTGAGCTCCGGGGCTCAGTCCTTGGTCCCCTTCTTTTTTTTGTCTACACTCACTCCTCGGTGTTCCCATCCAGTCTCATGGCTTTAAGTGCCATCTTTATGCTGATGCCTCCCAAGTTGATATCCCTGTCCTATACCTTGTCCCTGAACTCCAGACTCATATAAAACCCACCTACTCAAAATGTCTAGCTATATGTCTAGAAGACATTTGTGGCTTAACATGTCAGAAATTAGCCTACTGAACCAACCCCAAACATACTCCTTCTGGAGTCCTCTACAACTCCCTTGTTTCAGTTGATCAAACCAGAATGCCTTGAAATCATCTCAAATTCCACTCTTTTTTTTGTTTCACTCAACATCTGATCTAAGCAAATGCCGTCAGCTCTATCTTCCAAATATATCCACAAACGGATCAGATCTTACTACCATCGCTGCTACCACCCTGGTCCAAACCACCCCATCGCTCACCTGGACTATTCAACCCCTTCAACCTATTCTTTACAGCAGCCAGAATTACCATGTTAAAATATGTCAGATCATGTCATCTTTTTTCTGCTACAAAGCCCTACACGATCTGCTCCTTGACAATTTCCTCCCTGACCTTAAGCCCCCTTCCCCTTCAGATTCCTGCTCCCCCAACACTGGTCCCTAGTTGGTTATTCCCCAGAACACCAGCACATCCCCACCTCAGAGGTTTGTGCTCTGCAACGTGCTTTCCCCAGAGAGAAACATATGATGGAATCTCACATATTTCTGGGCTTTACTCAAATATCCCCCAATCACTGGGTTCTTTCCTGAGCTTTACTCCAGCTAAGACTACGCCTCCTGCAATGATCTCCAGTCCCTTATCCCCTTCAGTTTTCCTCTTAGCACATTTAACACATTATATATGTTACAGATTAATCATGTTTATTTTTTGTATCTTCTCCCTACAATGTCAGCTCCATGAGGACAGGGACTTTGATGTGTTCCCTGCTATAGGACCTAGAACAGACACTATGCAGAGCAGGCACTGAATAAAGATTGATTGATTGGTTGAGTCCATGAATCTATCCACCTACCATGCATTGGTCTACACTACAATCTGTCCAATAACTCTCCCTCCTTTCCATTTGTCTACCTGTCCCACTCACCTAACATAATTCATATATCCATCTATCCAACCTGTTCCTTCCATTTGACGCACATCTATATGTCCATCTATGCACCTTTCCCACCAACCCAGCATATATTCACATATCCATTATCTGCGTATCCCAATAATCCAGCCTATATTTCTAAATCCATCTACCCACCTGTCCCACCCATCCAACCTACACTTATGTATTCACCTGTCCAAACTATCCAGCATATGTTCATAAATTCATCTGTCTGCCTATCCCACCCATCCAACATACATCCCTATAGCCCCCTATGTACCTGTTCCAACTGTGCAACATACTTTCATGTATCCATCTATCCACCTGTCCACCTATCCAGCATACATTCATATATCCATCAATCCACCTGTCCCACCCATCTAGTGTACATTTATATATCCATCTAACTACCTGTTCCACCCATTCAGCATCCATTCTCAGATATCCATCTGTCTGTCCTGTCCGTCGAGCATGCTGAAAGGGTATGCATAGATATGAAACATACCATCTATGCACCTGTCCCACCCATCCAGCGTACATTCATGTATCCATCCAGCTTTCCCTCCCATCCGACACAAATTCCTATGCCCATTTCTCTGTCTGTCCCATGCATCCAGTGTCCATCCATATATCCTTCCTTCTCACCAGCCGTCCACCTTCACAGTCATCCAGTCGCCTCTTCATTTCTCCTCTCCCCTTATCTCCTCTACAACCAGCCACTGTTCCCCATCCGTTCAGTAACCCGTCTGCCTGCCAGCTTTCCTCCCTCCTCTCATCCGTACACTTGAAACACCCCACTGCTCTATCACTCCTTTCCTCATTCCAAGGATCCAACAAAGAAATCATGACACAGGGTTTATTTTAGGAATTCAGGATTGTTTTAACTTGAGAACATCAATGAGGACAATTCACTACATTAATGACTTAGTGGAGAAATATGTTTATCTCATGGGAACTTTTAAATACAATAATATACCCCTGATAGTAAAGTGAACATCATCCTTAGTAGTGGATTTTGAGATCAAGACTGAGACCAGGCTGCCTCTACCATCACAGCTGTTAGCATTGTTCTGGAAGTCTTTGCCTCCATTATGTAAGAGCTTACTTTGGACCAAACGCTATGCTAATGCTTTATGTCCACCAACTCATTAATTCCCTTCAACATCCCTCTGAGGTAGGCGGTATTGTCATCTTCATGTTACAGAGGAGAATACTTGCCTAAGGTCATGCAACTGGTAATGGGCAAAATTTGGCTTCAGTTCCAGGCAGTGTGTCTCCAGCATCTGTTCCCGTAACCACTGTGCTGGGAATAAGGACTGGATGCAAGAGAGAGAACTGTTATCATTGCAGCAGATGTGATTTATCACAGGGAAGATGTGGTCAGTTATCACAGTTGATTAATACAGTAGTTTAGCTGGGTACAAAATAAATCTACAAAAGTCAGTTGAATTTTTCTACACTAGCAAAAATCAATTAGAAATGTAGTTTTAGACATCACTTACACTACAGTAATAACCATATAGGCTGAAACTAAATCTAACGAAAGATATAATGGCTCTTTCTGGAGAAAATTGTAATACTTTATTTTAATAAAGACATCAAATAAGACCTAAATAAGTGGATGATACATCATGTGCTCAGAAAGGAAGATAAAATTCAGTGAAGACGTCAGTTCTTTCCAAGATCACTAGAATACAAATTTCACAAGGGCGTGGGCTCTCTCCTTCCCTCCTTCCCGTCCCTGGTTCCTCAACTCCTGCTTCTTTCCTCTCCCATCTGGTTTACCCGTTCTGTACGGTCCACCTTCCAAGTCAGCCACCTTTTCCCTCCCTTTCCCAATCCCTTCTGCTTGTCTTCCCACTCCCCTCCCCTCAATCCCCTCCCCATGCCTCCCCTCCCCTCCACTGCGTTCCATTCCACTCCACTTTATTCCCCTCTACTCCAATCCACTCCACTCCCTTCCCCTCCCCTCACTCCCCTCCCCTCACTCCCCTCCCCTCACTCCCCTCCCCAGCCTCCCCTCCTCTCCACTGTACTCCACTCCCCTCCCCTCCACTGCATTCCATTCCACTCCACTTTATTCCCCTCTACTCCCATCCCCTCCATTCCACTCCACTTCCCTCCCTTCCCCATCCCTCCCCTCCCCTCACTCCCCTCCCCTCACTCCCCTCCCTCCTTCCCTTCCTCACTCCCTCCGTCCACTGCTGCATGTCCACCTCTTCATCTTCTTTCTTCTCTCCCTTCCCTTTATTCCTTCCACATTCTGCCTCCTCCATCCATCCACCCACAGGAAATCCATCCACCCAGTCACATTCCCGTCCTTCTGCCCACCTATGTACCCCCTACATTAGCTACCCATCTGTTCTCCCGTTCATCCGTTCTTCCTCTTCTGGCCTCCCGTCCATCTGCCTAACCCACCCACTGGGCAAGCCAGACATCAGCGAATCCAAACATCTGTGTTCACCTTTCTCCCTTCAGCCCAGCCCCCTGCCTTTGTTCATTCGTCCACCACCTTCTACTAAGGCAAAGACTTTCTCTTCCTCTCTCTCTTCGTTTCTCTCCTTTCTCCTTCTCTTCCTCCCCCTAGGCTTTGCTCTCTGCTTGTAGCATGCTCAGACCTGCACTTCTTTGGACTCTGAGGAGAGAGTGCTGAGGAGAGGGAAATCCTAAGACTTACCCTGGTGACGGTGGCATGCTCCTCAGAGACATGTCTTCACAACTGGAGAATCTTGGAAATGGGTCCACCTCTGTCCACTGTCTCCCCAGGACTTCCTGGACTCCAACCATCTCCCTTCACCTTAATATCTCTTCCCAGAGACCGCGGGACTGCCACCTGTCCTGTCTAGGCATGGCGTCCATCTGAGGGAATCCAGTTAAACTTAATTAGGTGAGACCAATCAAATTAGGACACACTTGTGTTGCTCTGTCATCACATCCTATAACTCTCTCTGAGACCAACTTCCTCTTTTATTTGATCTATGGTTTTTCTAGCTTTATTGAGATATAATTGACATATAACATTGTGTAAGTTTAAGGGGTACAAAGTGATGATTTAATATACATATATGTTGTGAAATGATTTCCACAATAGGGTTAGTTAACACCTCCATCACCTCACATAATTATCTTTTTTTTTTTTTTGGTGGTAAGAATACTTAAGATCTGTCTTAACAACTTTCAAGTATACAATGCAGTATTATTAACAGTCTGTTTTATTTTAAATAATTTCAGACACAGAAAAGTTGCAAAAAAAAAGAAAACACAAAGAATTCCTGAACACCCTTCCCCTAGATGTCCCAGATGTTATAATTTTACCACGTTCGCCGTTTCCTTCCCTCTCTCTATGCATAACATATTTACTTAATAAACTGTTTGACAGTAAGTTTCAGACGTGATGTCCCCATGCCCCTCGGCCGTTCAGTGTGTTCCCCCACGGCAAGGACATTCTCTTACAGAACCACAGTACGGTTGTCAGGGTTGGGCACTGATGTGGGCTTGGTGCTGTTCTCTGACATGCTGTTCCCTCGCGCCGTCCCACCTGGCCCCTCGGCTCTGGCCGCTGGTCTCACCTCCTCTTTCTGGCTTCAGGTTCGGGACAAGAAGCTTCTCAATGACCTGAACGGAGCGGTGGAAGATGCCAAGACAGCCCGGCTGTTCAACATCACCAGCTCCGCCCTGGCGGCCTCCTGCCTCATCCTAGTCTTCATCTTCCTGCGGTACCCGCTTACCGACTACTGAGGCCCCGACACGCACCGCCGGCTGTGGAGACACAGCGCTGAGACCGGTTCATTTTCATAATGGACACGAGGCTGGATGCCGCGCGGTTGGGGGAGAGCAGGGCATCTGCCCTGGGGGCCCCCTGAGGCTGTGAACTGGGCACGAGGACATCAGAAGCTCCGTACAGTAAGGGGGCAGTGAGCTTCGTGCTGGCCCACCCCTCTGCCTCCTGGCCCTCTGCCTGGCCTGTTTCTGGGGTGCATGGGTTTCTTCCTGTGCTGCTGCACCCCAGCTTCCAGTGGCTGCCCTCCCTACCCTCCTGTGCCCCCGCCCACGCTCCTGGCGCCCCTCAGACCTCACCCCCAGCAAGAGGGGCTTCTGTGGGAGCTTCCCAGGATGGGCCGGCTGCCAGCATCTGGGGACTCACTCTGTCCTCCCCGACCCTGCCTCCTCCATGCTGTGACCCTGCTCAGAGCTCTTGTGTCTGTGAACTTTCAATAAAATACCTGTCTAGCTCCGGCCCAGCCTTCTATCCCCTGCCTGCACAGGACACTGGGAATCTGGAGGTTTGGGGAATCCCATTCAGGCGCTGTCTCGCGCTCCAGGGCCCCCCGTGCTCATTCCAGCTGACTTCGCCAGGGAAAGTTTGCTCTGTAACCCAGGCGGTCTTCTGCCCACGGTGCAAGGCGGGACTGAGGGGGGCTTTTGGCAGAGGGTACCCCAAACACGAGTCCCCTTGAGGATCGGGCACCTCCTTGGAGAGGAAGGAAGGGAGTGGATGCCGCATGAGCACAGCTGCCCACGGCCGCGAGTTAGAGCCAGGAAAGCCACCGCATTCCCCAGAAAGGAGTGCTGGGGGGGACGCAGCGCCCTGGCCGATCCCTGTCCATCTCAGGGGGGCTGGGGCCTGGGGCAGCTTCTTCAGCCTCACTGCTGCCCGATTTCTCGTCTGTGAAATAGGCAAACGGACTTCCCATTTCTCAGAATTGCCGTGAAGATCAATGGAGGGCAAAACATGGCAGCAGCTGAAGCTTGCCGCTGCAGAGTCAGGATCAGCCCCGCGGGCTGGGGGCAGGTGCCGGGGACCGGGGCTGAGGCGCTAGCAGAGACCAGCTCGGCCGTGGAGCTCGTGGCCCCGCGGGGGACGGTCAGTCTCTGAAAACAAGTCTGATGAGCGTTAATATAGGAAAAGTGCAGGGCTTCCTGGGACGGAGGGGGGCAGAGTGGGGACCTTAAGCTGAAGGAGGGGCAGGGGAGCTGCCGAGAAGGCACAGGCGGTGGGGCCTGTGTGCAAAGCCTGCAGTGGAAGGGCCGAGGCTGGTCGGGGAAACCGAGGGAAGTTCTGTGCAGCTCAGGTGCAGAGGGAAGGACTTTGTGTCCCATCGGAAGGGCCTCAGACTGTACCCCAGGGCCTAGGAATGTGCTTAGCGGGGGAGAGGCCTGGTGTGCTTTGCGGATTTGGAAGATGGTGCTGCCCGGAGCATCAGGGCCAGCTTGGAGGGGACAAGAGTGGACAGAGGCTGTTGCCAGCAGCGGGAACGGTGGAGTGTGGGCTGGAGGCTGGTGGGAGGAGGTGCAGAGGGAGGGTGCAGAGGAGGGCATCTGGCGGATTCTCAGGCGTAAAGCTTGATAGAATTTGGTGACGGACTGGAGGCGAGTGAGGAGGAGCCGGGAAGGACTCCTGTATCTCTGACTTGGATGGCTGGGTAGGCAGTTAGTGCCGTGGATTAAGACTGAAACTGGGGCAGGGGACCGTGGGGACTCTGAGATGCCCAGTGGAGAAGAGGACAGAAGAGCACCTGGGAGACTCTGCAGGGAGCCTGGGTGGCCCGAGCAGTGCTGAGCCTGGACCAGAGGAACACCACCACTCACAGGGGCTGGCGGGAAGGAGGGGCGTCCAAATGGGAAAGTGCATGGGCCACGGAAGAGCCTGTGGGGCGTGGGGGAGAGCGTGGCGCGTGGGGGAGCCTGTGGCGCGTGGGGGAGAGCGTGGCGCGTGGGGGAGAGCGTGGCGCGTGGGGGAGAGCGTGGCGCGTGGGGGAGCCTGTGGCGCGTGGGGGAGAGCGTGGCGCGTGGGGGAGAGCGTGG